GGGAGGGGGGGGGTGCACACTTTATAAACATATGCAGTCTTCATTGAGTCTTGTTTAACTTCACATTTTGGGCAAAACCAAGATTCATCATACTCCAAGATCTCTGGTTTGAAATAATATTCTAGAGCTTTGCTTAGAGAAGTAAGTGGTTGATTTTGGTCATTCAATATTGGTAGGGATAGTAACGTTATGGGCTCCATTTTGATATTGAACTCACCGCATGTCAGACACTCTATACTAGCACTACCAAAGCCGTGAAATAACTTGTGTAAAGGACGATAGGGTGCTGAAAATGCTTGTTGATAGATCTTCCAATGATCCCTCCACAATTTCGATTCACCATTCTGCTTCACAGTTTTCGAATCTATGTCCTCTGTCTGTGAATAGGCTGCGCCTGCTCCAACCAGAATGTCAATAAGACCCGACATTAGCTCTTGACTGTCGTGCTGAGAATAACCTTGAAATTGAGATAGCTCACGATCTAATGCAGCTTTAAAGCTACGAGGATTAAGTCCATTAAAGTTCACAAAGTCGCCTGCATCCCAACGTCGTAAACTCATTTCCGGCCTCCATAAATTCTGTTATTGCAGATGTTGCCATGCACGTTGCGATCGACAATGTGTGGTGTGTGCCGTGAGGGGGGGGGATTACCTTTAGTAGAATACTTAGTTCACGTACAACAAGGTTGTTGGAAGAAGCGGCCAGTAGAGACACCTCTTCTTGGATGCCCGAGTGGCTAAGGACCTGGATGACTACATTCATGTAGCAGGTGTTCCCCAGGTTCACCAATCCGGTGAGACCTTCCTGAGGCTGGGGTGTGCTGAAAGATCTAGAGCGGGATCGCCTTGTTACGAAAGGTGATGACGACACCCTTTGAGCGCTGGCTGCTGAGTGTCTGCGTGTGTGAGCCATCCCATCTTTTTAATTTCCACTTGCCATTCATGAGCTTCAGTCAGACGTTGGGAACCGGCACCGGCATCTTCGTTGGGTTGGGCGTAGTGGTTGGCATCATACTGATCGCTGTATGGGGCAGGAAACCCAACTCTGCGATGACAAGGAAACAAACTGTCAAGTTGGACACCACCACCCCCCCACACCCTTTCACACCCCCCCATACCCTTTCACACTTCCCCCC